AACGAAGACCCTGGAAAACGAAGACCATGGAAAACGAAGACCCTGGAAAACGAAGACCCCGGAATGTTCCTATGACGCCAATGATACACGAATTCGCCCAATATCGGGCATTTACTTTCATTGTGAACTCGTTAACAAAATCCCCGTACGAATTTCATTGCGAATTCTTCATAATATATTATTTTCATACACATTTTCGGATATAATCAATGTAAAACCCAGTAGTATGCCTAATTTCATCTTGGTTTCGTTTACAGCCAAAACAAGGTCAGCTTGGACGTTCAGTTGCGAGACGTAACAAAAAAACGCAGGCAGTGATACATTTCGAAAAAAGAAATACAAAATAAACGCAATCAGAGGCGCCGACCACGCGCGTTGGAAGTAAATAGAACGCGTTGTGACACAGTCTTACCAGCGTCTTTTGCTCACGCAATATAATAATGCTATTTCCCAACGCTGTTACAATATTTACCTGCTCACATGATAACTATGACATTATGAAGGATAACTGACAAATTAGATAAATGTACGGATAATATGAGAATAGTCGCACTTGAAAGTGCGTTCCGAGAAGTACAGTGGATTTCACTTTAGCTCAACACTTCAACATCAGCTTTGTATCAACTTTGTTATCAGTCATTGCCTTTATAGACGCCGACAAACGTAAACATTCACGACAAAACACGCATATAAAAGCGTTCCATTTTTATTGTCTAATGAAATTGAACCATGAGAGTATTACATATATATACAACCATATAATGTACCTCTGATATAACCGTTGTATTTACATCAATGTACAATGTTTCGGCACAATGCTCTACTGACCAACCATTTACATGTTCAGATATCCGATTGACCTAAAAAAGCCCAAGCACTGGGCGGGCGTAATTTCGCCAACAGCGCGTAAAATGGCGTATTCTAAATTGTCTTGAGCAAGGTGTCTGTAAAAAGGTCGTTTGAATATGATCTTGAGGCATCTGAAAGCATACTCTGTTGCATTGAAATCAGGAGAATATGTCGGGGTGAAAATATATTCACTACCTTGATTATCTAAAGACTCGGATAATATTGCACCGCCCCTGTGATGGTGAGTGGGACAGTTGTCTACAACGACAACATTGCCGTGTAAAAGTGCGGGCATACCGTTTTCCATGACTGTATTAGCGGCTTCATTAAAAAATTGCAGATAACTATCGGTATTTGATGCACCACGAACAATATTAGCATGTGAAACACCAAATGGGCTAATCAGTAGATTCAAGGTGAAATTTGCCCCTGAGTTATAACGTTGAATCTCTACAGCAGGAAGTCCAATTTGAGCATGTCCATAATTTCGTTGGGATGCATGGAGAGTGAAACCACTTTCATCAAAAAAACGAATGCGCATTGGATCGATTTCGCGAAATGCTTGAAGATATGCTTCAGTATAAATGAGATTCCGCTCGGTAAACCTTTCTGCAGCAGGTTTAATCATTTTTTTCCATGTCCATTTTGTTTGACGCAGGCCGCTTCTCACTGCACGACATAATGTTGAATTTGAAACATGCACATTCGCGTTTTCTTCTAACTTTTGTCGAATATCTTCATAACTCATAGAAGGATGTTCAGTTTTCAAAAGTTCTATGTACCTGTACCTGTAGTCGTCGTCTGTTAGTAGTGTAGGCCGATATGTTGAACGTCTTCGTGGGGAAACCGAGCCAGTATCACAGTATCTTTGCCATACGGCCAGGACAGTACTACGAGCCACTTTAAATTTCTGAGCACAATTTGAAACAGCTCCCCGAGGTAAAGCATTTCCGTCATCTCCACGCAGTTTCTTCAATTCCTCCACCAACACACTTCTATAGTCATTTCCGAGAGGCACTCCAACGATCCACTCTCGACCAGAAATATTTATTTTTGTTGTTCGTTGTGTCATCTTTTGCGTCAGAACTCTCAAGTATAAAAGCCAAACAAGCGGTGAACAAGTTGCAAGTCGTCAACCAGCGCAACTCTGTTTTCCCATGGTTTTCAGTAACTTGATTGACAGATACGCTTACTGTTAAGGTATGACCAACTGAGGTCAGAGGGCATTTGTTTATTTATATATTCTGATTGGGTTGGAGTTTCTGTCCCATTCCAGAAATGGGACGACCCTGTCACCAGGGCCGGACGCGGTAAATTCTGATTCGACACCCATGAAACTTTGCATTGACGTCACCACTCCGTGTTGCAACATTTTATTTTTTCGTGATTCAGTTCGGCGGGAAAACATCTGAGCTCGGACTTTCAGTGTGTGCACAAGGACGATTTATGATCATGGCTTTATCGAAAGAATGTTTTTCTGCAACAGAACAGGTTGATACCAAAGTGCATTACAGTTATCACAACACAGACCGCTGCACCATTGTTGAGGTGGGATACCGTGACTTGTGTTTGATGGATTTTACCGAATTCTGTGCTTTATTGAAGAACGAGGTCAGCTATCTTGCACGGTTAAATATGATTCGTACCAGTTACAAAGATGCAGAGGGAACTTATGTCGATCTTAATGATAGTAAATCCTTTTCAAGATTTCGAAATCACTGCAGCAAAATATCTACCGCTAACGTGAGAGTAGATGACGGGGATCGCCAGCA